CGCCGCTACTGGATGTGTGTGAACAAGTTTTATAGGGTTTCCGACGAACCTTTTTGCAATTTTGAGGTATGGATTGATGAACCCTGTCACCAGGAATGCTACAAACAATCTTTGCAGTTTCTTCATGATTTGATCAAAGAACAGTGGGAATATGAACGAGAATACAAACGAGAAGTTGCGAAGTTGAAGGAGAAACTCAAAGAGGTGGAAGAAGAAAAAAAATAAGCTGGAAGAAAAATTTAAGTGGTTGGAACAGAGAATACTAGGCGGTGGTGACTAAACAATGACATGTACGTGTTGAGTGTAGTAGTATATCTTTATGTTTCCCGTATCATGTGTTTCAATTAGTTGTACTGAATTTAAGTTATGTTAAGTTTCTATGTTTGTGTTTGTGTTGTGTTAAAATAAAGAAGAAACGGGGTAACAAAAACATAATGCCATATTATGTAAGCATAAAAAATTATTGTTATTATTTACATAATTTAATATTTACATAATGTACATAAAATACAAAAAAAGAATGTGTCACACAGCATGTGTGCTTCAATGCAGCCGCTGGCCTGAGGCGAATACCATCCCGCCTGAATACGCTATCAGGATCATCCTCATCACATCGCCTCTTTATATGAGGATGCGTTGTAGCATGATCGCCCAGTAGTGCTTGCAGGATCGGTAGAAGGGGCCGTCGGTCCATCAGCAAGCTACAAAACAATAAGTCAGTTCAGTATATGAAAATATATATTAGTAATGTACATGTTGAGTCAAAAAAAAAATTCTTACCATGGTCTCGTCGGGCTCCTGAATATAAGCATCCATGGGGTCCTGCTCAGCATCGCACAAAGTGGCATCCGTGACGGGCTGGGATAAAGACTTAATAAGAAAATTATAAAGTTATTTATGGCGAATCAATGAGATAAAAACAAACTAAAATTTAATAGTAATACAAACATACCTGCGCCTGTGAAAGATCCACAGCACCCATCGACAATGAGCCAAAACTCAGCCGGCGGCCACCATCTACATCTCGGGTCGACCGATCCTCAGCAGTGGTCGATGGGCCTAAAAATAACTACTCCCAATCTCTGGTAATGCTCGTGCCCGTGATCGACAATGGCTTTGACGAGGTCACCTGCGATGCTACTGGAGTCAGCGCCAGCTGAAGGCTGTATAACGGCATGCTGTTGGGATGCTTGTCTGGCTGAGAAAGGTAACCTGGCAGATCAGCTCCAACATCCTCATCAGGTGCCTCAATGCCCCCTTGTTGGGGACCACCTTCTCGCCACCCCCCACGACCTCATGGGGTACCCCTACCTCGTGGGACAACCTTGTCTCATGCACGTCCCCTCGCGCGTGGGACATGCCTACCCCGTTGGTAGTGCTCTGGCGCCATATAAGCAGGGACGTGATCTAAGCGCTCGTCCTCTTTGGCTCGATGTAGTGTCCGGGTAGCCAGCTCTGTAACCTACCGGCCATACTCCTGCAAAGCGACCTTAGGATCGTCGGCATGCTGTTGCATCTGCAGTCCCAACTAGTGGAGTAAATGTATACCAATAACCTACACAACATGTAAAATATAAATTACAGAACGCTATATTACAGTTATAAGTAAGAATACCAAATAACATACTGGTGCCTCGTGCCTCCCGTCATATGGAACGTACCGACCACCAGCTCGGTGAATGGGGTTCCCAACGAAAAGTCGGGTAATGTCGCGGTACTAGGGCATATAATCATGCTTAGTATCATGCCGACTCGGTGGAGCGGGGGGCCGAATCAGCTCTTATCGTCGGTCCCAAGTAAATTTCTGATCCTGTAGCCATGCCAAATATGGTTCGTCTGCCCTGGTACGATCATCCTGCTGGTAATGTGGGGTCTCCCAGGTGGGCGGTGTCGGTACGAGCTGTAGCCTGCCAAACTGGTGAAGTACCCGCTCGGTGGCATGATGCTCCACAATAATAAGGCAGAACAACAGGACGGAAGAGCCACATATAAGTCGAGCGGCCGAGCAATAATCGGGCAAGCCAGCTATCAGCGCGTCGCTGTATGGCATCCAGATGAACTATTAAGGAAGAACAAAAAACGTCAGTATACGCAACTTGTGTTTGAAGTAATGACAAATAAACTTAGATATACATTTACCTGTGCGCCATCCAGCAAATCTAATATATCCCTGCACAAGGAGAGATTATGCCGAGCCTCGTACTCGTGCGAATGTCCCCGCCGGAGAACCCACCTCCTAGCTAGAGGGAGAAACTCCGGTGGTACATCCGGATCTAATGGTGGTAGAGGTGGCTGCAACTACAGGAACCGCCCCTAGGCCCAAACCTAACATAAAAAGTTGACGTAAAAGTTAAGATATATTTTTACTAGGTATGTTAAAATGAATAGAGTATTCGAATATGTTGTCACCTGTAGTAGCGGCAAGAATCCAGCAACCTCACGCTGGGTGCCCATACTCACCCGGCACATGCATCTATACAAGTAGGCGAGAATAGTAGAGCCCCGACTGTATTGGGATAAATCATCTAGCCGCTCAAGATGATGAAGAAATCTCAAACTGACTAGGTTCCCCGAAGTGTTCGGGAATAAGACCCCTCCAAACAACAAGAGTAGCAGCAACCTCGTATACCGGTCAACATGATAATCCCATGTATCGCCATCGATCTGAGGGTGTAATGCCTCCAACCACACTCGAATAGTCGTTAACGGAAACGACTGGTCCCATGCAGTACAGTCTCATCCTCTAGGCGGAAAACAGTGAGCCACTGCAGTATGTCCAGGTACTGCACACATGTCATCTCTCTCATAGCAGGCGGCAAAGCAATGGTGTGTCCATCAACGAGCAACCAATATAAAACCTCCACGTCCTATAGTGTGACGGTGGCCTCGCCAATGGACAGGTGGAATGTGTGCGTCTCCGGTCGCCACCGCTCTATCAGGGCCGTGATCAAAGACCAATCGAGCTGCAACCGCCCGATCTCAATCATCCTGTAGAAACCCGTGTCCTGCAGGCGCGCGACTACACGGGCATGGAGAACTCTGGCATGCAGAAAGTCCCACATGTTGTCCACTCTCCTGGCGCGGAGAGTTTGGGTCAGTAACTCACCTCCCATATGTGGGCGGACCTATGATCGCCCTGTAACGAGAGTAGCACATCGCTGGAAGGTCTGGGATGAATAGGCGGCACCTCCATGTCGTCTACTGTAAATCAAACAACATTAATTACATGTTAATTTTATAATTTTATATGTTTGTTTGTAAATTAAATAATAATTTTTATAATTAAATATTCACATATGGGTTCCAGGCTCAATATTTAGAGCTCAGTAACACCAATTTATCCTGAATTCTTCTATGTATTAATTTTATAATTTTATATGTTAGTTTGTAAATTAAATTATAAATTTTTATAAATAAATATTAACATATGGGTTCCAGGCTCCATATTTGGAGTCCAGTAGCACCAATTTATCCTGAATTCTTGTATGTGTTAGTTTTATTATAATTGTATATGTTAGTTTGTAAATTAAATAATTAATTTTTATAATTAAATATTCACAAATGGATTCCAGGCTCGGTATTTGGAGCCCAATAGCACCAATTTATCCTGAATTCTTCCATGTTTTAGTTTGTAAATTAAACTATAATTTTTTATAAATAAATATTCACATATGGGTTCCAGTCTCCATATTTGGAGCCCAGTAGCACCAATTTATCCTGAATTCTTGTATGCGTTAGTTTTATTATAATTTTATATGTTAGTTTGTAAATTAATTAATTAATTTTTATAATTAAATATTCACAAATGGGTTCCAATCTCGATATTTGGAGCCTAATAGCACCAATTTATCCTGAATTCTTCTATTTGTTAGTTTTATTATTTTACATGTTAGTTTTATAATTTTATATATTTGTTTGTAAATTAAATAATTAATTTTTATAATTATATAATATTTAATTATTAAATATTCATATATGGGTTCCAGGCTCGATATTTGCGGCCTAGTAGCACCAAATATATGTTGAATATAATTGGACAGAGTTTGTGTTTGATTTATTAGTCTTTATACTACGCTAAAAGGCAATACATTTTACTACGCTAAAAGGCATTACATTTTACTACCCTAAAAGGCATTCCGATTTATTAGTCTTTAAGCAAAAATAATAATTTAAACCAGATAAAACACAACAAATACATTGTAATCACAAAAATACTTATAAAACAGTAATAGTAATTTATTAACATTTTTATTAACAAATAATAACGATTTCACAATTTTTACATATTTTTTTACAACATTAATATCTTAGTCCGGATAAAAATAACATACCAATTTAATCGCAAAAAAGCACAAAACAACATACAACACATTCAAAACAATTAATATGCATTATTTATACGAGTTTGGACATAAACTAAATCGGAATACCTCGAATTATGTTTTTCGGAAAGTTGAAGATTTGAAAATTTGACTATGAAACAAGCAACCCGCAACAATAGAAGACTTGGCTAGGATGTGAGACCAACAATATTTACTTTTTACGGGACGGGTGGGGTCTACACGAGCTTTTTTAGACGTTAATAGAGGGGGGCCGCTGTATTTTTAAAAACGAAGGGGGAAGGGGATGGGGATCTGGGCAAAAACGTGGGGGGAAAGCGAAGGGTTCTGTTATTTATGTATATAAAACGCAGTCTATTACCGCGTTTTACATAAAATGCGGTAATGTACCGCAATTTATATAGTAGTCTCATCAGCTAAAGGCAAAATACTGTATCAAAAAGCGTTTTATATAAAACGCGATAATGAACCGCGTTTTACCTTAACGTCCCAAACGGCCGTTAAGTATTTTATATAGAAATATAACTTTTTATTTTTTACGCTTAAAAAAGTATTTTAAGTCTAAAAGAACCACGTTTAGTTCCGGACCCCTAATAGATGCTCCAAAGTTAAGACAGGTCCCATTACTTTAGTTGAAGTCAGAGATACTGTTGTCAATAATTTATGGTCAGTGTCTGGAAGTCTACCACACTTTCCCATTTGAGGAAAGCACAATTCCTCATTGCTTTATTACTGCAACTTGTGTCAGCATATTACATATTCTCCTGAAAATCAAACATTCTTTCCCTGTCAGATTCCCAACTTTCTTGGAATTTTCAGCACCTTAACTTAACATCCCATAAGTGTCAAAGCTTAGATTTTTCTTTGACCCTTTAGAGAGAGAGAGAGAGAGATTGTGTCTTGTTAATGGAGTTGGTACCTTATTCTGACCCCAAGACTGAATCAAGCAGCTCTACTCCACCTTGGCAAGAAATGTTCCGATCTGCTTCAATGAAGAAAAATGACTCACAATTCAAGAACGATGGTTCCCCACAAACTCCCCCAAAAATCCCAGAAACCAAAGAGAATCAAGATCACAGTTTTTTATCAGAGGAATCTCAGGTATTGCTGTAGTGTGTGACCGTCTCTTTTAAAAGCTTAAGTTGTTAGATAGAACACACTTTTAAATACTTAACTATATTATGTCTCAACTATGTGTATATCCTATATGTTGAATCCTATTAGCTTCTTCGTTTGTTTAATTCTTTATATTTTGACACCTGTTAGTGAAATTACTAGTTCCGCCACCGGCAAGAAGCGAAGCTACAGCCAATCAAGGATGGTCAATTGACCACCGTTGGTTGAAAACTTACATTGTGTATATAGTTAAAATATTAGGTTTTAGAGGTATATAAATATATTGAATACCCTTTATGATTTTTTTTTCATTTCTTTCAAATTTGAATACCCTTGGGAAAAATTCCTGACTTTGCCACTGGCCACCGGTGTCAACACGCCCTTCACATTGTTATGTCGAGAGAGAGGCAAACTTGAAAATAGCCATGACTCAACACAGGACTGATTTTTTTTAATGGCCGCGCATGGAAAAATTCTTTTCTTTTTTTATAGAGGATGGCGGTGAAACTTGAATCTGGGACCTCTAACTGCTCTGATACCATATTAAAGTGTATAACCATATCATCTAAAAGTTAAGCTATTTTTTTTTTGATAACCGTGGTGTTCGGGCCAGCTTGCACGCACCTCGACTAATTCCACAGGATACCTGCCACTTCCCACCAGCAGCAGGTACCAAACTCTATCCACCAAGGCTTGGATAGATGGGAAGAAATCACCTAGTGTGCCTCCACTGGGATTTGAACCTGAAACCTCATGGTTCTCACCCACTTTATTAGAGATATGACATTTTAATAGCTTAATTATATTATGTTGCAGCAGGTACGCTTGGCCCTCTATATAGCCATGGCTCATGCAGGTCTTGCATTCACAATTTTCATTCTTTATGCTGTTGGCAAATTGCTTGAAGAATATTTAAGGCCTATATTATGGGCAGTGCTTTGCTCAATACCATTAAGAGGAATTCAGCAAGCTCTTGTTGCTTTCTGGTCTGAACCTTTAGAACTAGGCCTTACCGAAACCATTTTGGCTGTCCCGATTGCTGTAATCAGAGTTTTCGTCGAAACCCTTGTTGATATTAGGGAAATGATTTTCAGGGTTGTTCTTAGGAGACAGAAAGGTAATGCCTCAAAGCGTAGTAGAAGTGGATTTTTTATGTTGTTAAGGTGGTTAGTTTCTTTTTGGGTTTTTGTGATGGCCTATGAGCTAATTGGTCTCTTTGGATCAGTAGCGCTTCTTGCATTGGGATTTATGTTTCCTGCTAATAGTGTGGAGTCTACTATGAGTGCAGTAACATCTTTTAGGAGTCATAGCTTTCGTAGGCTGTCGATATCTGCTTTCTTCACTAGAGGGATATTGAAAAGATTGAAAACTATCGTCGCAGTAGGACTGATTGTTGGGTTGAGCGTAGGTTCTTTGGCGGGTACGATTTTCTTCTCTTATGAGATTGGAGTGGAGGGGAAAGATGCTGTTATTGCATTGAAATCCCACGTAGAGGAGAGTAATTATGCGGAGAAAATTGGTGTCAAACAATGGATGGATGAAAATGATGTCCCTGGGATGGTGGATAAGTACACTACTCAATTGTACGAGACTGTATTCGACCAGATAGATAGCTACGCTATCCAATATAACATGACCGAGTTTGTCAGTGGGATCAAACATTTTATCACAACCCCGGCTAATAACTCTTTAGGGCGGTCAACGGCTTTAGCATCCCCCTCTCGGTATACTGCAAAGATCTTGAGCCTAAAAAGGAGGATTAAGGATCGTGAGTGGGAACAAATGTACACAGAAGTCGACGCAATTTTCCGGGAGTTGCTGATCACTAGAGAGGACTTGGTCGAAAAGGCAAAAGGATTTGCCGTTCAAGGAGCAAATGTAATGCAAGGTGTACTTGTTACTAGCACATCTCTTTTAGGTAGTAGTTTACAGGTCATGTTCTCAATCGGGAACTCTATACTTTCCGGAGCTGCAGGTCTTTTCAATTTTCTGTCTCAATCAATGGTGTTTTTCTGGGTACTTTATTATCTTATCACATCCGAGTCGGGAGGAGCAACCGAACAAGTTATATGTATGCTTCCAATATCACATTCGGCAAGGATTCGATGTGTTGAAGTTCTTGATAAAGCTATTTCAGGGGTTCTTTTAGCAACGGCGGAGATTGCATTCTTTCAAGGATGCTTAACTTGGCTCTTGTTTAAATTATACTCGATACATTTTTTGTATATGTCGACTGTCCTTGCACTTATTAGTCCTCTGTTTCCTATTTTTCCTGCGTGGTTTTCAACTATCCCGGCAGCATTACAGTTAGTGATTGAAGGTCGGTATATATTGGCGTTCAGCTTATCCATTATTCATCTTGTGCTTATGGATTATGGTACCTCTGAAATTCAAGAGGATAACACTGGCTATAGTGTATATCTCACTGGTCTCAGCGTTATTGGTGGAATGACATTGTTTTCTTCAGCAATTGAGGTAAATAACAAGCATCTTTGCCTCTTGAATTTCTGTCATAAATTTCCTCGCATAGTTGCATTTCTTTGGTACCATATGTTGGACGTGTTCTCTCCTCTTGTTCCTCTACTTGACCATGAGAAGAAAAGGTGCATAAGAGGTAGGCAAAATATAGCCCCGAGTCACCTATTCCAGTATTAGACAGAAAGGCAGCCCGGTGCACTAAGCTCTCGCTATGCACGGGGTCCAGAGAAAGGCCGGACCACAAGGGTCTGTTGTAGGCAGCCTTACCCTGCATTTCTGCAAGCGGCTGTTTCCACGGCTCGAACGCGTGACCTCCTGGTCACATGGTAGCAACTTTACCGGTTACGCCAAGGCTCCCTTTCCAATATTAGACAGAAAGGAAGCTTTTAATTTCTTTTTTCTATTTCAAAAGCTGTGAAAACAACATGAAGGGAAGGGCAAACAATTCCCCTGAGGAAAGAAACTCACTGCCTTCACCTACAACTTTATTCTTCACTATGTCAACCCTTAGTGTAAGTCATACCTATGTTTTTCACGAACTGCTGACTCAATGCATAACTAGGATCCTTATATTACTCTAAGAGGGAGAGTCTGCTCGGTTTACTTCAGATGAAAATGGTGCTACCTTGAGAAGATCTCCAGCAGTTCAATAGAATATCTTAAATCTTATCTTCGATATAAATGACACTATAAAGGAGTATTAGAGAAGAAGCAAAAGAAGAGAAAAATCGAATGCATAGAGTAGTTAGCGGTGTTCTTTATGTAGTGGCACTTAAGGTGCACAGCCCTGCTGTTTTGCCAAGCAAGAAAAGATAATTTGACGCTCAGCTAGCTAACTAGAAAGAGAATGAATTATCTTTTCGTTTAAAATTTTACTTTGCTTGATATTAATTGTTCATGGTTATGTTCTGCAGGGAGCGATAATGGGGCCACTAATAACTACTATTGTGATTGGAATCAAAGATTTGTATGTTGAGTTTGTATTGGAAAGACAGAAGGAATAAGTAGAACAAATCTGTGTTTCTAATACCTTCTCGAAATTTTTTAAGCCATCGGAAGAATGCTGCAACTTAGCTTGATGGAGAGTGTGGCAACAGCACTGAACCTTTTTCACGGATCAATGGTTGGCTTAGTTTCTCCATGTCATGGACTTTAACCGTCTTGTTCTCTGCAAATCGGTTTCAACCGTCTTGTTCTCTGCAAATTGGCTCGAGGTTTATGTATGTAACTATGTATGCAGAATCTGTCAATTTTTGTATGTAAGTTGCCAGCTCATTGGTTACTGTATACTTATGTGTATCATTTTTCTAAATATTTGTTTGATTGTGTGAAGAGAGTTATTTATCATTTCCACTGCTTCTAACTTTTATTGTTGTGTATACTTTCCTAATGTACATTACTAGCAGCTTGGCACCGAAGCATTTAGCCAATATTTTTCTATCAAAAAGCTTTTTCTTTTTTTAACTCAACTAGTACATCGGGTACTTGCCTTATTTTCCGGCTTACTACTGTAGTTATCTTTTAGATGTCATCCGGCTTACTACTGTAGTTATCTTTTAGATGTCATCTTTCTCTGGTTCTTATGTTGCTTTCATTATTTCTATTATTTTCTGTTGATAGTACTGATATATTATCTTTCTTTTCCTCTTCTTGAGCCGAGAGTCTACCGGAAACAACCTCTCTACTCCCTCGGGGTAGGAGTAAGGTTTGCGTACACTCTACCCTCCCCAGACCCCACTTGTGAGATTTTACTGGATTGTTGTTGTTATCCAGCTTACCGAGGACATGACCCGTGATAGGAAGGTGTGGAGGTTAAGTATTAGAGTTGTAGGTTGACAGATAGTAGTGTGTTCCTCTTAGGCCATTCAGTAGTACTAGGACTATTTTTGTAATTTCTTATTTATGGTTCTTTATTATGCATGTTGTGGCATTCACGCCCGTTAACATTTTACATTGTTGCTAATATTCTTTGCTACTTGGTTGCTTTATCTTCATTGTTTCTTGAGCCGAGGGTCTATCGAAAACAACCTCTCTATTTCTATGAGGTAGGGGTAAGGTACACACTACCCTCTCCAGACCTCATTCATGGGATCAAACTGGGTGTTGTTGTCAATGTATAGAAGTTCCCCTGCGTGGTCATATAAAGCAAACCACGACTGCCCTGAACTAGACGCAAATGGCAACCTGTGCCAGCTGCAGAGCAATCATCTCTTGAAGATCAATGGCAGAACAATTTTGGAAACTCGAAAGCCTTGAGTAAGCATATTGCAAAGGCTAGGTAAATTATGGACTTTGGATTTCTAATAGTAAGAATGAAAGGAGATGGTGCCATTCGGTTTAATCACAATAAATGCATATTAACCAAAATAGCAATATCACAGTACTTATCTTGACATACAACTTAAGCATCGCTTGATAATACACAGTGCAGAACCACCCAGTATAACATAACGAAATAGTCCAGCTGGCTTTGATTATATTGATGGTACACTGCATTCTAAGCAGGAATGAGCACATAATATTTGTCAAATCTTGGAGCATTTTCACCACATCATGTTGTTACTTCATGTATTTCTGAAGAAACTTCCTATGAAAGTCATTCCGGATAGTGTCATTGATAAAGCGCTTGGCTGCCTTGATTTCACCACGAGCTTGGTTCTTAAACACCACATCATCATCCCACCTGAAGATAGAGAAACATATAATGAATCAGACGAAAAAAATAGCTACAGCATCTTAAAAAAAATAGACAGAATCTTGTAAAAGCCAAATCTCGAGGATAAACCTTCTCTTCACACTGAAAGATGTCGGTTGGGCTTGGTGGTTTAGCAGAGGATTTCCTCTCAATAATTCTGCTTCCTTTGCTTTAAGCTCTTCTTCTTGCTCTTGCCTTTCCTGCCAAAGATCACACAATTTCAAAGTGATATAACAAGTCACAATACATCAGATGACTATTTTGATTTTAACATGAACGTGTAATTAGTATCTCCCCTTCTAGATTAGCATAAAATCCAATCACATAATGTCATATTTGGATGGACAGGCAAAAATATACAATTGTCAAATAAAGACTCTTTCAAGAGAGATAGAGTTCCATCTGTATAATAATATCAAGGCGAAATACATAGATTACCACCTGAGCTTGTCTCCAAATTCCCGTTACACACCTGTAGATTACGGGAATAATTTTATACACTCAACCTTTTAAAAATGTGTCTATGACACATCACTTTTGTGTTTGACCACTTCTTTTAAATAGGTATATGTCACGCACCAATTACTTCTTGACACGTGTCATGAAGTTAAAAGAAAAAGAAATCCATCTTCTTTCTCGATAAAAACCAACCACCATGATTGCTACAACCTCCATCTCAGTTTCAAGATCAGAGAACATGAATACAAATCAACAACCAAAATTTTCAACATCAACCTTAGATTTCTTCAAGTTTAATCCAACTCAAAAATTCAAAGTACTCTTCTTCAACCTTCTTAAACAAATTTCGATCCAACTACTTAGTTTATCTCTAAATGAGTTTCAATTGAAATGGAGCTTCTAATATACAACTAATTCAATCCTCAAACACCAATTTCAACAAACAACAACAATTTCAAATAATTAATTTCTGGGTCTTGCGCAATTTGTAGAAACAATGCGGACAAGAACGGGTGAAAGCAAAAAATCTTAAGACGATTTTATGTTGGAAAAACAAAACCCCTGCCAGAGATAGGTGCAGAAGAAGGGTAAGGGGTATTGCAGCGGGCTGGGGTTGAAGCAAGGTTGAAGGGCAATATTTGAGAAAAAATGCTTTATAATGGATTTGGAGTGAGATCCAAGTTCATGACTTAGAGGAGGAGCTGTTGAAGTTATGAGAAGTGTTCTTTATAAGTATCAATGGAGGAACTGGCTGAAACTTGATTCATAAAAATGAAGAAGATGACTAAAAATGAAAAAAAAAAAAAAAAAAAAAAAAAANGGAGGAACTGGCTGAAACTTGATTCATAAAAATGAAGAAGATGACTAAAAATGAAAAAAAAAAAAAAAAAGTAAAAAAACTGGACATGTAGCGTCCAAATGAGACTTTAGATACAAAAAATTTACAGTTCACGTGCCTCATTTGTGTGTAAAATACGCGCTTGCCACGTAGTTAAAATAGTGTGTCATAGATACATTTTTTAAAGGTTGGGTGTGTAAAGTTATTCTCGTAATCAACAGGAGTGTAACAGGGATTTGGGGACAAGGTCAGGTGGTATTTTATGTATTTCGCCTAATATTAACCTTGAGAAATGAATCTATGCAACCACAAAATTGATATAAAAGGTTACAAGTAAATAAACTATGAGCATCTAGTTATACTTACTTTTCGAAGCTTCTCCTCTGCTTTTTCTTTCTTTATCTGTTCAAGCTCTGCCAAAAGAGCTTCTGTATCATCTTCATCGTCGTCATCGTCATCGTCATCACTGAACTTAGGGAAAATAGGTTAATAACTCATAAGTTCCTCAACTCACAGTATTATAATGTTCATTAGCATATTCTATAAGACAAGAGAAGAAATGACATCAAGAAACCAATGGTAATATTTACTTAGTACATGACAACATGACATATCCGAACAATATGGTCATATATAAGAAAGATGTTTATTCAAAAGAATTGCACTTTCTGGGAATTTAATCCTTAAGTTGTCAATGGCAAATAATCCACAATGGTTGAATTATCATGTCTATACAAATACGGGATGAGTTACAGACCTCTCATCACCACTTTTGATATCCACATCTGCATCATCAGCATCAGCACTCCGCGGAACAATACGATCTTCAATCTCTCGTTTACCCCCTGCAACAACATTGGCAATTAATGGAGAAATTTTATTTTAAAATGGAGAAATTTCATGAGCGACTTGTTGGGGATCCTAGACTGTTCCCAAAAACAAACATCAAGTTACCTTCCAAAAGGAGTTGACTACTTTTCCTACGATCTCTGTCATCTGCAACCAAAACAACAGAAAATCAGGCATAAAGCAGTCATTTTACAACATACTTAACATATCTATGAGGCACGCATGTTTCTCTCTCTCTCTCTCTCTCTCTCTCTCTCTCTCTCTCTCTCTCTCTGTTTCG